TCAAAAAGCACATTCAAGTAATATGAGGCCACTGGGACTGGCAACAAACTGAATCCTATTAAGAGCTGAAAGAACCATTATATCACATTAAAGATATTATATGTTCATACAAAAGTAAGGCAAAATTAAAACTAAAAAAGAACTAACCAACTATATCTACAATACATTAAACACAAATATTCTCTTTCCCTGAAAGGATTTCTGTCCTCCATAATCTGTTCCCTACCTTTCCGACTTGGTGTCTAAATTGCCTTCGCACTATCCCTTCAGTTGCACTGCACCGTTCTGTCTCCAAAGAACACACGTACTTTCTCCTAGAAAACTACAATTGTTTTTTGGTTGAGAAGCCTTCCCCAATGCCTCCCTGCAGAACTAGTAACTTTCTCTGCTCTCTCAGTGCATTCGTTTGGTGTTTATTTTCTCTCTCTCTCTCAGACTTTACTGCAAGATGCTTACAATAAGAACCTTTCCTTATTTACACCAGCGTTTATAATATAAAGTGGTCAAACACATGATCTTCTTTAGAATGAGGTGAAATTTGTAAGATAAGCACTTGTCATTAGAAATCACTTAAACAGGAAGAGCATACGCTGTGTATGTCCACGATGTGTAATGTAATATCCATAACCCTTTTTAATAAAAAGGCAAGAAGTTAGAATTGGCTGGGGCTTAGCTGCTGCTCTTTGGTTGGTTTGATTTATAAAGAAGGACACAGTGACACAGTGATTAAATGAGTTCTTTACTGTCATTAAAAAAACTCACACAGTACAACAGTCAGAACTTAAACAAATGTCTTTTTAAGAATTGTTTTAAATTGATTTTAGAGAGAGAGAAAAGGAGAGATAGAGAAAGACAGACATTGACTTGTTCCACCTATTTGTGCATTCATTGGTTAATTCTTGTATGTGCCCTGACCAGAGATTGAACCCTGCAGCCTTGGTGTAAAAGGATGATGCTCTAACAATGGGGCCACCCAGCCAAGGGTCTGAAACCAATGTTTTTTGATTCCTGATGAAACACAGTGTTTTCAATTATTTATTTATTTATTTTACATAGTATAATTCACTTTCAATAAGCAAAAGATTATCTCCACCCCCTGTAAATTTCTCACAAAGAATAGAAAAGAAATCTGGAAATTTTACCTCCACTAGCAGAAGTCCTAAAGGAAGGCAATATGGTAAAATAGAAAGAGCTCTGCTTTTGGAGTCAAGGCTGCCTTCAAAACCCAGCTCTACCAGGCATATTCCCCTGCTCCCCACCAGCACTGCTAACTGAGGCCACCTCCCTGGAGCTTGACTTCCTAAACTATAAAGTAGATGTAAGATTGTAAGAAGCTCTAGCTCCCCTCCTCCACAGTATTTTCTGTGAAGTTAATAATAATGTGTGTGAAATCTAGTCCTGCACCCAGCACACAGTCAACTGTTTGTTCACTTTTAAATAAAAAGCTGTATTCAAAGGTGGCCATGGCTGTGTGTATGTGTGTACTTGGAGAAGAAAATTCATTGCTATGATTTTTAGGTGGACTGTGTAGCAGATAATTTTGATATGGCAATATTTTTTAAATTCACCATATTATAGGATGTGCCATTCTCACTATCTTTCCAACTTGGAATAACAAGTTCCAAATATTTATTTCTGCTCTAAAGGCAGCTTTAACAGTTTGGTTTTCTAACACGCTGCCAATGATACACCAAAAGGAAATGTGCGACAAATAGAGTTTGCTTTGGAATTCCTGCAGAGAATGTCTTAGAGTTTAGTACTGGAAATGATTAATATGATAATAAGCAAATAGGGGAATATTGAGTTTTGAACATATACTACAGTGATTTTCCTTCTAAAAATATATCAAAGAGGGGTGGGGTGAGATACTCCTTATCTAAAAAGCACAGAAACCTATAACTGAGTGGTCCTTTAACAGTGAGCAAAACCTATGACTGCTCAGATCGTAACCTTCTTCCCAAATTGTTTATATGCTAGTAGAGTCCAAGGGGAGTATATTTAATAAAAATATCATACATCTTGGGAACTGAGGAATAAGTTTAAGTCAAAGATGTGCTAAGTATAAGCCGTGGGACTTTAGGTAATTCACTTAACTACTTGGATTTTTTTTTTCCTTATCCAACATAAAAGGGAGGGGAGAGAAGTTACATCAGCCTGGCTATGGTCTGGGTGTGAGAGTCAAATGACATAGAATATGTGAAAAAGCAAAGTGCTTTTTCAGCAAAAAGAGCTTTATTGCCACTCCAATTACCTCTTATATTATCACTCTTATAATTATCCAAGCTTTAGTTCCTTGAAAGAAAGTAAATGCTTGCTTTTGATTATTTGCTTTTATCACCACCGGAGAATGAAAATGATGTTCCGACATTCCTGAGCAAATAAGGAAACCACAGTACTGCTGCCAGAAAGACCATGTTCTAAAGTCAGGGCTGTGTGGCTTGAAGTCCAATTCACTGCACTTGAAACACACTGCAGGGAACTAAAATTCTTATGTTGTTACGGTTGTTTTTTATAAATCTGGGGCTTCCCTGAAAAGGAGGATCCACATGGAAGAGCCCAGAACAACGAGACAACATTCTTACCTATATCATATACATTTACAGTACTCTAGGATTTTTAAGCCATTTCTCCCTTGTTCCTCCCATCAATCTTGTTGTTCTGTTGAGATGGGTACCAACAAGTCTGCCGGCACAAAAATCATCAGAAGAGGTGGTACCTTGATGCACAAGAGGTTGGCTGATCCCCCGGCATGTAGAATTATTCGTGTTCCCTCCCCGGTAACCCAGAGCCAGTTTCCCCTTTTATTTTTGTCAACAACACTTCCTTTTTGTTCCCTTCCCTCCATCTAGGAAGTACATCACTGACACAGGCACAATACACCTTTTCATAAGGAAGCAAGTAAATACGGGCCAGATGGGCTGAGGGGATTACAACATGTTTCCTGCTCCCATGGTGACTCAATGGAGCTGGTATGCGAACTCATCTTATTCAAGAAGTCAGCTTCCCCGGCAGAATTATGAGTCACAGTTTCCGAGTAGAAAGCTCACTTTCCAACAGAATTTGGGGTGGGGGTGGAGGACTCCTTGGATGAATTACAGTAAAGGTCATTGAGATAAGCAGTAGTGCCAGGACCACTGGAGAAGCACCGCACCTGCCAACTTCTGGGACTTCACTGTTCTCCTGGCAAAAGGGACACAGTCACCTCTCCCTTTTCCTTCAAGGTGAGGTGGCGCATAAAACCGCATGGACGCACTGTTGGCATGAATCCAGACAAGAAGTTCCATTACAAAATTAGCCAATTTGTCCAAAAAAGAGACGTGAAGGTGAAAAAAAGTATATATATATATTTATAGAGAGAGAGGAAGAGGAAGAAGAAGGAGGAGGATAAAGGAGGGAGGGAGGAAGGATGACAGAGGTTGGGGGAAGGAGAAAGAGAAGGGAAGGGAGGAGGAAATAAGAATGAAAGAACGGAATAAGTTAAGACGGTGTCAAAAATAATGAGTGTTATGAAGAAAACTAAAGCGGGAGAGAAGGATAAACAGTGATTGGTAGGGCTATTTTAGTTAAGCTGGTTAAGGAAGGCCTCTATAAGCAGATGATGTTCAGGCAGGGAATTAAATAAAATAAGAACAAACCATAATCAGGGATTATATTCAGCATGTATACAAAATCAGAACATCTTGTCTCTGACCAGTCAAATGGGCCCCTCGATGTAGCAGGACAGATGCTGGTCCAAACAGCCAGCAGAGCTGTAGAGCAGTGTATCCCACCTGAATATCGGCCCTGGATATAAACGTTTTTCTCTGTGAAGACCCCGGGGGCCAAGAAGACTGGAAGTTCTCTCAGCTTTGAGCTGAACTCTGTCCTAGGTATACCCCTCCTTCAGTGCTATTTTTGCTTTCCAATGAAATGCTTTAGTGGCAAAGCAAAACTGAAACATTGAGAAAAGATCATCGGGATGGAAGAAGGACTCAAACCCATGCCATGTGAAGAACAGCCGAAGGCATACATTGGAGAGCATGGTCATGGTTGTACGATTGCTGTTTTAACATTTGTGAAGGCCTCTCACAAAGAAGAGGAAATAAAGCAATAATATTCAAAGTATGGTCATAGTCTTCAGGAAAATTATACATGAAAAGCTTTTTAAAATTAAGATACCTAGGTTCCCTGCATTAAAATTAGAAAGCTATTGGATTATGTATTTTCCCTTTAAATCAAGAAGTTGAACCAAAGAAACATACGGGAATGACATAGAGACAACTTTCAGTTATATGAACTAAAATCTTTCTAAGAATTTGATCAATTCAAAGATATAATGGGTTTCAATTAAATAATCACTAGTTAGAGGAATCAAAAAATGGTATGAATAGTAATTCTAGAGATGAAAGGAGACCTGAGGAGATAAACTTTCAAGTCCCTTGTAACTCTGATTCCATATACTCCAAGTCCATAATGATCATGTTTGGTTATTCAAACTCAATAAAGTCTTTGGCTGGCTCTTGTTTTGAGGCAACGCCCAAAGAAAGAATGAGCTTAATGACTGGTCTTTCTTTCCCTATACAGCAGCAGTGTGACAGAAACTGTCATTATTTATTTGTATAAGGTCTCAGCGGATTACCACCAAGGTCTTCTCCACCCCTGGGTCAAGTTTAGAAAACAGAGTGGCGCTACCATCACTATCATTCCTTTTCCCATAGGACCTGAGGGAGGAAAAGAAGCAGATTCGAGTTGGCTTGAATGTGAAGGTTATGCAAAAGTTTTATATTCTTACACACCAGACCACTACCCCAAGTGCACTGTGACCTACAAACACTAGACATGTCAGTGTTTCCTCCTGTCATCAAAACCATATGATTCTGTCAAATTTATGATTCTGTGCTTCCACAGAAGACAATGGTAATAAACAATATAATGCTCCCCTACTCATTTTCAGAAAGACTTGAAACTCTACCCTATGAACAGCTTGCATTTCAATAGACTATCAAAAGCCATTCACTTACCAGAGGCATCACTTTGCAGGATCCCATAGAAAGAGAGACTCATTACACACCACAGAAGTTCCATCTTGTCCACCTAGGTACAAAAGTAAGGGAGAGCGCTTATTACTCTCAGTGCTTAAATAATATTTAGTGCATAAGCATGCTGACTGTAGGCCAGGAACTATTCTAACAATTCTACCATATTAACAAATTTAATTATCAGAACCAACCAATAAGATAGGCTTTAAAAAAAACACCCTATATTATAGATAAGGAAACTGATATGAGTTTAAATAACATAACAATATCCTTTGGGTAGAAAGTGGTAGAGCAATGATCAAATTCCAGCAGCCTTGCTCTATAACAATTTCTTAATCACTGAACTATAGCTTCTTTCTTAAAAAAAAAATGCTTTGGATTTTTTTTTTTATCAGGGTCACATTCTGAAAGATAAGTTTAATCTTCTTACCCTTCTTTGCATTTCCTTGGAAATGTTTTATAATCCAGGAACTTTTCCTTCTTCGTGAAGAATCGAAAGTTTAGAAATCTTGCATTCAGACTTGGGCAGCAGTCCCCCAGAGTGAATTTATAGTAAAGGGAAATATATAAACCTCATGTCCTGTTATGGCCACTCTTCTCACTGGAAAAGACAAATGATAAGGCTTGAATCCAATTTCTGTGATCTTTAGCCTCTATTGATAACCAATTGAAACAGTCAACTAGGAAGAGCCATGCCCTTATATTGGGTGTGATCTTTAATGCAGGAGGCCTGGAGATTTAACAACTCAGTGAAATATTATATTTCCCTACTATGCTAGATATATCTGACCCTTGATAAAAAAACAAAACAAAACAAAAAAAAAAACCCTCTTTAGAGTTATAAATACTGAAACCTTCACATTACTGAAAAATTTCAAACTCAAGATCTCCACTTTCTGTATGGAACACAGCAGCTATATATAAGGGTGCTTACAGAGATGTTGGAAACTTGTCCAGATCCTATTTCTGGTAAGTGATAGAGATGGTATTTATACCCACATCTGGCCAATTACAAGGCTATTATTATCCCAAACAGTAGCCTATGCCACAAGTTTTACAACCACAGGGATCCACCAGCTTTAAAAGGTCAAAGATATTTGATAAATTGAGGATCATATAACAACATTTAAAATGGGACAATTTTAAGACATTACACTGAAACAAAAGGTATAGATTGGTACTGTCCACGCAAGCCAAAGTGTGTGGTCACTTTAAAAGGTAATGCAAGTTTCCAACAGCTGTCACCTCTCTTGCCCACGCATCATCAAAAATCTCTGGTTCACTTTGTGCTTCCTTCATTAGCCTGACTATACACAAATAACAGGTGAGTTAATTATACCTTAAACAACTGTTTTACCTCAAAGATTAAATGCTTCTTTCTTATCACCACTGGTCCCTTCCCATTCTTTTACCATTACTGTAGGGAACTCCTATCCCTATCAGTCATTCATTTATTCAATAAAACTTTTATTGAAAAGTATGTCTATAAATTAGATGTAGAGCCTCCTCCACTTCTCCCAGTTGAAGATATAAACCACATGCCAACCACTTCGATGTCACCAGCTATGAACAACATACAGGCAGAGGCACTCATTATGGGATATGTAAAGATTTATCAAACAGAAGTTCTAGCACTAGGCAGAGTTTAGCAGAGACTTAAAAAGTATAGAAAAATAACTTCAATAGAGAGTAAACAGTGATAAAATAGTCAGGAACAGATAAGTGTTATTGAAGATTAGCAAAAGACAGAGATGCACTCCAGCTAAGCCAATCAAAGAAGACTAAATGCAAGAGGGAGCTTTTGAACTAGAAAGAACTGGTTTGGAGATGGAGAATAATGCTCAAAGATAGAGAAAGCATGGACCGTAAATAGGAAGTAGTCTATAAGTAACTCAGTTTGGCTAGAGCACAGAGTAGTAGGGAAAGAACTATAGAAGATTTTGTTGAAAAGCAGGAAGAATTAGGATTACAATATACCAAGGATTTAAATAGTAAGTTAAGAACTTGAAATTTAATTTTAACAGCAAATAGGGGAATCACTGAAGGCTTCTGATTAGAGGAGTGATATTATCATCGAGTTCTGCCTTATAGAAATCATTCTTCCAGGCACGTATTGGATGGATTGCCACTAAATTCTGTCTCAAAATCATGTGGCTCCTGAGTCTGTCATCACAGTAATTGTTATCCTCCTAGCTTTGTGTCATCTATAAACTTGCTCAGCATGCCACCTATGTCCTCGCCCAAGTCATTAATAAAATTAATTAATAATTCTGCATTAATCCTTGTCAGTGAAGAGCAACTAGATATTTAATTTCAGATTCAGGGCACAGTACTTGTGGCCCTAATACTATTCCTAAAGCAACACTTAGGAGACATTCTAATTAGTGTGATTGAGGACCTTAATTGATATTCTCATGAGTAACTGGATTATGCCAGAGGCAGCATGGAGTCAGGTCGCCAAGGTAAAGCTAATCTAAAGATAACTTGTGTGCAAAGATGAATCTGGGGGTCAGTCCTGCCTGTGATGAATTAGAATAAAGCAGACTGAAAAGAAATTGTGATTGTACAGGCTGGTTGTGACAGACGAAAGGTACCAAGGTTAGTGGAAGGCAGTTGGCTGGTCTGAAACCTCTCCAGGAAGGCAGGTTCATTTAACATCACCTTGCATTCTGCCTCAGAATTTTATTATTGTGACCAGTAATACACTTTGGTTCTAGTTTCTTGGAAAGCGCTGGGTATTTGCAGATGGAGAAACTGTCAGAAGGCAATGGAACCTGCCTAATGACACATGGCTTCTCATGGTCTGAATTGCACCCTAGCTTTAGATTACTGTGACAGGGTTTAACAGATTCTGCCCTTGCTTCAGATGATTGAATTTTTATCTAATAAATTTTTAGACAGCCTTTCCTGCATTATCCATTTTATTTACTACATGATCATTTTCATATTCCTCTCTGAGGTATTGGTACTTCTTTCATATTTAATGTCAGTTTTCCTGGAATATCAACTTGAATGCCTATATCACCTAGAAAGAAGTTTCATATATGTACTTAGGTCTATATAACAAACCACCATGTTAATAATGATCGCTAAAACGTGCTCAGAACTTTACCACAGACCTCTGTATGTGAACCATTCTACTTTTTGCGTTCTCTGGGCTCAGTAATCGTCAGGACCTCTTTATCTCTGAGCTAGCCCGGACCATTGGATTCCTGCACTGAGCCAGCAGGCAACAGGCTAAAACTAGATTTGCTTTCCCAGGATGGTCATTTCTCTAACTAACAATGTGCTTGGCCCTCCTTCTGCACAGCAGCATTTCAATAGGCCACAGGACTGGATTTCTCCCTCAGTTTCCTGATTTGACATATAGCTCCATGCTCAGATCACAGCTGCTCTTTTAAGCCCATCAGCCTGGTTGGGGCTTGGATATTCAACCTGGTGTTTGTCTGCACTCTTTTCCAGGAGCCTGCCTCTTGTCCCCTGTAAGGTCTTCTCCAAACTGGATAAGCTTCCTATAACCATGAAGCTGCTATCGTCTGCTTCATTCCTGGTCAACAGATGCCCTTGGCTATGACCTGCCTACTGCAAACCTGGCCATAATATAAAAGCACTAACCCTGGATGGTCACCCCTGTGTGAGGTCAGCCCTGCAGTTACATCATTCAATTTGAGTTCTGATCACACCCAGAGCTTCCCCCGGCCCCCGTTCTCTAACTTACTGGTTAGGTGTGAACAGGTCTCGCACATCTATGCCAAAAAAAGTCTTTTAAGGACATAGGTCAAATTATTATTTATCCCATTTCACAGAAAAGGAGATACCATTTATTTAAAAATTAGAGATTTTAATCATCAATATTTTGTCTAGTTTCCAGGTTTTTGATCCATAAAAGGGTCCTTGTGCAGAATATTTCAGAATACAGTATTTATCAATAAGAAAGTTTCAGCAAAGTGACATGAAAGGGTTTGAATCTGGGTAAAAAAAGTAAGCAAACTCCACCTGTCTTTCTCCATGACAGCAGCTATAAGCCTGGGCAGAGTGCGTGCAGTAACTATTTGAAGACTCTAAAAATTAAATAATGGCATGTTATTTTCAAGTACATGTGAGCCATGTCATGCACCATTAATCCTACCTAAACAAACATAAAAGAATTAAAAATCTATCCTCTAACTACAAAAATAACCTAGAAATCAAGAAAAGAAAAATAACAGGGTACCTTCCAAACACTTAGAAATTAAGGAATATACTTCTAAATAATCCATGGGTAAACGAGAAGGTCTCAGGGAAATTAGAAAATATTTTGAACTGAACAAAAATAAAAAAATAAACAAAATAACATATCAAAATATGTGGGATACAGTTAAAGGAGTGCATACAGGAAAATTGGTAGCATTATAGGCCTACATTTAAGAAAAAAGAAAGGCTTCTGTCTTAAGGACTTGGAAAAGAGGAGAAAAATACATCCACCAAGAAAAATTAAAAAAAATAATAATAATTAAGAATAGAGATCAAAAATTTTAAGACAGAAAAAAGTAATGAATCCAAAACTTGGTACTTTGAAAAGAACAATAAAATTGCTAAATCTCTAACTTGGGAAACGAAGAGAAAAAAAAGGACATATCACTAATATTAGGAATGAAAGAAGATACATCACTGTTGGTTACACAGCTATTAAAATGGTAATAAGGTGATGCTCAAAACCTTAGGCACATAAATTCCACAATTTAGATGAAAAGGACCAATATCTTAAAAACCACAAACTACTAAAGCTCACCTAGAATAAAAGAGATAATTTCATTGTTCCTATTACTATTAAAATAAATTAAATTTGCAGTTAGAAACTTTCCAACAAATGCATTCCCAAGCTCCAGATGGTTTCACTGGTGAACTCAATCAAACATTTAAAAAATAAATAACATCAATTCTACGTAATCTCTTGCAAAAGATGACAGAAGAGTTGCCAATTCACTTCATGCGACAATACTCTGATCCTAACACCTGTCACAGATAGCACAAGAAAAGAAATCTATAGATATTCCACAACCAAGCAGTTTATTCTAGAATGCAAGGTTGGTCTCAGCATTTGAAAAATCTAAGGAAGAAAACCATATGATCCTGTCAATTGAAGCAGGAAGAGCATTTTATTAAAATGCCACACCGATTCCTAATAAACACTCCCAGCGAACTAAAAATAGAAGGGAACTTCCCAAAACTGATACAGGGCATCTGCAAGAAATCTACAGCTAACATTATATCACATGATGAAGGACTAAATGTTTTTCCAGTAAGATCAGGAGCAAGGCAAGTATCTTCATTCTTAGTACTAGTCAACGTCATTCTCAGGTCTTAATCAATGCAATAAGGCTAGTCACAGATAACATAATTTTCAACATAAACAAATCTTAAGGAACCTATTGAAATAAAACTAAATAAGTAAAGCCACAGGATATATAACAATATTCAAAAATTAAACATATTACTATACATTAGCGATGAAAAATGGGAAACAATTTTTTATAAGATTAGTTATAGTAACTAAAACAAAAATGAAATGCTTAGCTAAGAATCTAACCACACCTGTAAAAGATCTGTATGCTGAAATTT